AAAGGCGGAGAAAACATAAAATAAACCGTTCGTCAAATGGACTCTATTACCTCAGCTTACCTTCGCGAAGTAAAAACGTCCGATTAGAATTAATGAAGGCACTAAAAATATCATCAGATGTTTTGCAACAAAACATTAATCGATTTATTTCAAATCTACTGCCTGTATGAGGAAAAAATTGATCGAAGTTCATTTCGACCGAACTTTCTTCGCGCCTGAAGTAAGTACACTACAATAAATCCAGATTTTTCCAAAAATTTTGTGAAATTTAATTTTTATTATAACCTTTACAAATTATATTAACAATATGTACATATAATGTTAAAGTAAAGACAAAGAAAAGTGGTATGAGTTTGTTTCAATTGAGTTTTTCCATGACAAAATTTTATCATCAACATTTTTGTAAGGCTACGTATATCAGTTTGAATAGATGCACTGTAATATTAAAACCAAGAGACTCTATTTCCAAATTTTTGGAAAAATGGATTTAGTCGTCAAAATTTTGAGATGACGTCATTAATTTTCTGGGAGGGAATAAACGAATGAATTTTGATTAACGGTTTACCATGATTACGGTAACCTTAAAATGTTTGCAAGATTTCAGAGCATTCGGTTTTGCAGTTTCATAGTATATTGGAAAATGTTGTTAAGCAATTTAGAATTTTTTCCAAAAATCTGGATATCTAAGGTGAAAACTCAACATGGATTCATACACCACAAATACAGGAGTATCTCATTTTATGATATTAAAAACAAATTTACAATAGTAAATTTATTTTTAATTTCATTCAGGACCATTTAAAATCAAATGGACAGTTCTTCAGTCAGTTTTGAAATATAGTTGGTGTAATGATTTTTTGATTCTTTACGTGCCAATATGTCACCATATTCTTTTGAAAATTGAAAAGCCATTAAAACATTAAATTTCTTGGAAAAACCGGGAGGGCTGCAATCAAGTTTATAATGCACTTGAACAATATATTTTTTAAAAGATCTTTGTATAATTTCTACTTCCTGAGGGTAAGCCCAGAAAGTATAGTAGTAATCGAATTCATCGAGCGATTTGCCACTTTATGTTTTCTCGACGTTGCATGACCTCTTGAGTTCGAAAAAAGTGGTCTTCCATTTCTGTCTGTCTGTCTGTCTGATGTCTGTATCCATTTTTATTAGACAAGGAATCTCCGAAACTACTGGACCGATTGTTGTCATATTTATTATTAGATGGTTAAACGTTAACTAAAATTTGGCTAATCATCTCCACCACCAATGGGATGACGTCATCTGAAAAATTGATAATAAAAAGTTATTTTAAATTTTACAAAATAAGATACGCCTGCACTTGTGGTGTCGAATTTTCGCCCAAGACATTCAGAATTTTTGGAAAAAATTCAAAAGTGAATCACAATATTTTGCAATATAACTTTGAAACTGCAAAACTGATTGCTCTGAAATCTTGTAAATATTTTAAGGTTATCGTAATCGTGGTAAATCGTTAAGCAAAATTTATTCGTTTAGCCCCTTCCAAAAAATTGACGACGTCATCTCAAAATTTTGTCTATAGGTACTTGTGATTTATCATTGCATTAAAAGTTTTTAAATGTGTTATACAGGGTATCAAATAAAAATTAATGTATGGGGCAATTTATTTTATTGATTAAATCGTTTTCTCAAAAATTGACGTTTCATGACCCCTAGAATACGAAAACATAGGTCTCTTGTTTCCGTCGTTTGTGTCAATTTTTATATGTATATTAGGACGACATTCCTAGTAATTCCCAAAGTGTTCAAAATTTCCATAGATTAGAAAGACGCTAGAGAGTCTAAAGACTAAATACTCTAAAATCTAAAGATTTTAAAGGCTCTAAAGGGTCTAAAGTCTCCAAGGACTGTAAGGGGTTAAAAACTAAAATTCTGTTTCGAATACTTGAAAGATTCTAAAGGTTCAAAAAAAATTCCAAAAAGCCAAAAATTCTAAAACTTGTAAAAATCGCGTGAACTCTTAAAATGCCAACGATTTTAAAAATTCCAAAGACTTTAAAGAAAACAAAAATTTTAAAAATCTGAAAGTCGTAAAGTTCGGAAAAATGCTTTCTTTAATTTTTATAAATCCTAAAAGCACTGAAGGCTTTGGACACCCTAATTTTTTCTTATAAATCTTAGAGACTGTAAAGATTCCAGAGATTCCAAAACTTCCAAAGATTTAGACTCTTGAGATCTATAAATTTTAGAAAATCTGAAAAAAATTAGGAAGTGTGGGAAAAAAATTTAGAAATCTTGAAAATATTGGAAAATGTTGAATTTAAAAATTCTGGTATAACTGGAGCCTGATAATTTTAGAAATTTTGGAAAATGTGCTCATTCTGAAAGATTGAGTTTTGCTGGAAAATCTGAACATTCAGGAAATTTTGAAAATTTTGCAAATTAGGAAAATTTCCCAAATTAAAAGAAAATAAAAAAATATTAAATTTCATAATTTCAAAAGTTTACACAATCTTAAGATTGTAGATATTTTAAAAATTCCTAATGTTTGAAATATTTAAAAGGTTTCAAACCTTTCAAAAATTTTAAAGACTCGACACATTTTAAAAATGTTAAAGTTTTCATCCACTAGAATTTGCGAATTGTAAAGACACCAAAGATGCTAAATAAACTAAAGTTTTAGTTTCTAAATAGAAGAAACAACCAACCAATCTTAAAAATTGTAAAGATCTTGGAGTATTAATGTTTCTAGTGATGTTGAAGTATCCAAATTTCCAAAGATTGTTAAAACTCTAAGGATTCTGAAAATTCTAAAGATTCTAAATATTTTAAGGCCTCAAACGTTAAAAAGATTTTTAAACTTCTGTTCCAAATATTTTAAAGATTCTATAATTTGTAAAAAACGCATGAACTCTTAACGGGACAAAAATTTTAAAGATTCCATAGACTCTAAACAAAACAAAAATCCTAAAAATTTGAAAATCGTAAAAATCTGAAGAATGCTTCCTTTAATTTTTATAAATCCTACAAGTATTAGTGGTCTTGAATACCTTAATTATTATCTTATACACCTCAGAGATTCCAAAAATTTCAAAGATTTAAAGACTTTTGGGGTCTATTAATTTTAGAAAATCTGGAAATATCTAGATAGTGTGAAAAATCTGGAAGACCTAGAAATCTTCAAAACTGAGGAAAATATTGAATTCTGGCATATCCGAAGACTGATGTTTTTATAACATTTAGAAAATCTTGAACTTCTGGAAATTTCAAAGATTTCGAGGATTCCAAGGGTGCCAAAACTCTAAGGAGTCTATTAATACAAAATTGATATATGTGCCGTTGCTAAAATGTTAATGACGTTATCAAAAAAAAATATATGGAAAAACTGACTATAAAGATAAAAAAAAAGAATTCTCAAAGTTAAAGTTTATAATTTTTCGAAGTTGTATTTGATCGACTGTACTTTAGGGGCTAGGGAAGTTTTGTCGAATAACTTTCAACCAATTTTTAGAAGTAGTGCTCGATGTAGTGTAAAAATTCAAAACAGAATTGCTCGTCGTGGTTTCCGATTTTTCCGCTACTTTCAGAAGAATCTTCGATATAACCCTCAGACTGTCGAAGATTTAATTAATTGCCGTTAAATTTCCCCCGAAATCTGATAGTATAGTAGCAGACGTCCTCTGAAAGCAATGTCCGATGTATAAGGTGGAAGTTGGCAAATTCAGAAAAGTCGTATGTCTGCGTCTCGGAATTTTGTTTTTTATTTCCGGTCTGTTGACTTTTACTAACTATTGTGTGTCATCAACCGTCATTTGACAAAGTTCATCTCTTCGATGTGTGCTAGCTAAGCCTATAGCAACATATGAAATTTAGTTCAGTGTCAAATACGGATCTGGAATAGAAAAAGCGATTACCTTGATCATCAGTAACTTTATAGACGATAACCCTCCCCTTTTCTTTTCAAAAGGCAAAATAATTTATCATATTTACTTATATTTCAATCGTTATTATTATTTAGTAAAGTTGTTATACGAAATAGTTGGTTCAAAGAGTTGAGAATATCCAAAATTTGTAGTTTTTTTTTTCAAAACAAGATAACAGGATATTTTCTGAAGAAGTTCTTTCGACTTTCTTGATCCTACACCAGCCCATGAAACGACCAAGTCGAAATTTGCGCTTTATACAAATTCTTCAATCTCTGGGGACGCCTTTTCGCTATGGATAATATGTTATAATAAACTTTAATACTGTACTATACTAAAATACAAAAATTATATTATATATTCAATTGTAAACGTCATAAAGTTCGCGTTGCTTTTCATAGGAGAAAATGCAGTGAAAAACGAATGTGTTTTATTAATTCTTACTATTGTGTATAAATTACATTTGACAGAGTTGTTGAAAAGCGTTAATTTCATTAACGAAAATGTGGGGTTAGGTTATTGCAGACATATTTCATAATGTTTACAAAAAATCAAGGCTACCTTGACGACTTTTTCAACTGATCACCCGATACCGGTCTTGTGGATCGACAAGAAAACAATAACACCAAATAATTTCTTTGTTATGGAAAATCTGCAACATTCTCAAAAAACTGTCAACTCACGACGTCACTTTTTAGATTTCCACAACAAAAGATACATTGTACCTCCCCTACTCTAAGAGACGCCACTGATCCCGTGTGACGCGTGCCACGGCACACCGCCCGAGAAGGCAGCTGTTCAGAGAGGCACCCTAAAGCCGAATGCACATGTCTTTTATTTTTTGGAGCAAGCACAATTCCCACATATGTTCGCCAGAAACGCAAAGCAATTACGCCGCTAAAAGATGCGAAATCATCCACTTCTGCGCCTCCCATTGTAATAACGGCATTCCTGACCGAAAATGAAATTTGTTCCCCCCTAATTTACTGTCGATTTGGAAGAACTCAAAGAAGAAATAAACCCACAGTACCAGGAAGAGCACATGTTTAAACACACCATCAAAGAGCTTCGGATGTTCTTCCCTGAATTAAACTCCACTTAAAATAAGTGATCGTCCAAAAGCGCGTCCTGCGTGGACAAAGCTGAAGCTGCGCATCTGCAAGAAATGTTAATTGCGAAATTACGACAGGTTGACCGCAAAAACTTTCTTTTGGGTGAATTAGGACAATTACGCTTACTGATAACAATACGTGGGTGAAGTTGCGACAGTAGCGGAATTTCCACAACCTCATTACTGTTCCTTAATAACTTGTGGTGGTAATTTGCATCAAAAAATAATCTGTTGGTTTAAAGTGCGGTTAGTCGAATTTCCATAAAGTTCAAGGGTGTAGGTCCAGCGTGGGCACGGGGCAAGGGGGTTACTTGACGATCGAGGGAATAGTGTACACATACGCACAGATGTGCATGCGTATCGTGTGTACCTTTGACTGCTTGAACCGTGCAGCATCAAGTCGGCTTTTAAACTTAGTGAACATGTGACAATCTGGATGACCGGCCGCTGTGATTTCGTTGACGTGGTTTTGACGTTTTGTGTATATGTGAATGTTTGTTTGATGAATGTGGGTGTATTTTTGAACTGGATGTGGGCTGGATGTGAGTCGTAACTGCAACTGAGGTGAATTATTATGATTTTTTGTTTTAGACTGTGTTGTTTAATCGTTAAAATTTCGGATGTGTAAGGCAGTTGTCGTAGATTAACATGTTTTTAAGTACTTACTTAAAAAAGGAAATAGTACTAAAATAAGGTCGGAAGTAATAAATGAGGCGAGGGTGCTTCGTGGTGTCGTAAAAAGCAGACGTGATTTTATAAATTTATGTTTTTGTTAACATTACCAAAATATTTCTTGCTAAAGTCTTATCAGATGGTTTTTTTTTTAATATACTGTCGTCTTAATGTGTTGATTCTTATCTTTTTTAAGTTTTAGTGTAAATATGAAATTGAAACTAATAAATCAAATAAAACTACATATATACTGAAAAATACTTGTGACATAAGTATTTTTCAGTTCGTTGGCTGGTTATATAAAATGAAAGTGAATTAATTTTTCTGAAGACATTTTTCTCTGTTGAACTTCCGCTTGGCAACCCTTCAAATGGCTTTTAATTTAAGTTAATTAAGGCTTGTCCGAGATCCCGGAAACTTTTGTAAACTAGGAACTAGGAAATGTAAATCAGAAGTTAATTATAAACTTAGAAAATAATCACATTTTTATACGAACAGGACAGCTTGATTTTTGTTCTGTTTGTAAAAAAATATTCATAATGTTTATTGTTTTTTAAACGTTTGTTACTTTTTCAGTTTGAATTTTCTTTTTCTTATTTTTCTACAGCTGCTCAGAATGAAGTTCAAAACTGCTTGAGAATTTCGCTAAAATTTTACGTAACTTGTATAATAAAATAAATTGTAAAATCTATGATGTCTATGTTGTGTTACAAAGAGTAAAACATTTTTGTATATTCTTTTGAAAATTTTTACTTAATTATTATTAAATATACTCGGGCGCAACATCACTGTATTTTCAAATTTTCGAGAAAATGGGTAAAATTGTTCTTGATTTGAAAATTAGAAAATTTGACTTTACGAATTTTTATTTCTGATCACCTCTATACGAGTACTTTAAAGAAAATATATAGATAACAGTAGTAATAATATAAGAATCAAAAAGCCTCTGAGAAAATCGAACGCCTGACATTCGTTCTAATCACTAATTTGAATATTCTTGTACGGGGCCCATTTATATTATTAGTATAAAAAGTTGCTACACAGTTTCGAAATTTTTGCAAAAATTTGGATGCTTCGAGAAAGACCTCAAGGCAGATTCATAAACCAAAGGTACATACTATTTTTTCCTACTCGTCTTGAAACGTCAAGAAAATATGAAAGTACCCATTCGTTCAAGTAAAAATACATTTTAATGTGAAATGTATTAACATTTTATATCTTTAACAAGGAAAAACTGGCAGTTTAATACACGGAGCACAAAGTTTTTGTCTAGATGTAACTTCCGGGAACGTTCGTCTTAAAATTTAATCTCAATTTAATTGCCTTTTAGTCAAACTGAAGTTCTTTTGTTCGCTCTTCAATTATAAGTTTAATAACGTGCAATTGTTTAAATTTCCAATTTAGCTAGGCTGGTAGTTTCGAAACGTATGTGCATGCTGGGTGCATACACCACATACCTATCAATGAATATGAAGTTAAATACTGAAGAGTAATACCATATGATCGGAAAAACTTGTTAAGAGTGCTTTGGAATTTATTACAAAAAAATAAAAAAATATGTCGGTAATGTCATTATTTTTGACCTACGTTGTTTAACTCTGTCAATTTGACGTTGTGTCTGATATGTCTGATACATAATGAGTTATTATTGATTACTGATATTACAAAATTTTGTGATGACATTATAGATACAGTATAATACTAATAATAATAGTATTGTATTCCCAAACTTTTGGGAAGCTGGAGTGTCATTTTTGATTTAATTAGTAACTGCCTGATTCATTAAGTTTTTTGAGTCACCTTGTATAAGTAATTTTAAAAACTATGAGTGCATTGATAAACAACAACAGTAGAGTCAAAATTTTGAATGACGTCATGAAGTTTTTAGGAGAGGATAAACGAATCAATTTTGATTAACAATTTACCATGATTATGATAAAATTTTGCAACATTTCACAACATTCAGACCCGATTTATAGAAAGCGAAGTTAAAGTTAATTCGCGATTAACTTTTAACCGAAGTCCGTTGCGAGGCAACGCGCATATGTATTTTAACCAATCACGGGCTCATATTCCATATTTTAATTCTCTGTTAACCTAATCGAGGATTAAATATTTAACTCGCTGTTCTATAAACTGGCCCTAAGTTTTGCAGTCTCAAAGTTCAGTTGCGAAATGTTTTTATAAAATTTTGACTTTTACAAAGAACTGGACATCTAGGGTGAAAACTGAATACGGATTATACACTACAAGCACAGGGGTATTTTTTTTATAGTTTATAGTGAGTTTAAAAACACTTATGTATTGTTGTAAATTTTGGAGATGCCATCCGATTGGTAGTAGGGATGATTAGCCAAATTTTGGTTCTGCATGATATTTCTAATATATATACTAAATTTGACGACAATCGGTCCAGTAGTTTTGGAGATTATTAGTCTAATAAAACAGACAGACAGGCGACAGACAACACACGGAAACGGCGGATTCTATTTTTCGTACTCTAGAGTTCATGAAACGTCAAGAAAACATGATTAAACCGTTACGACACTTCCTTACCTTAAGCTCGGGAGGTAAAAATAAATAAAAATCAAGAACACAATGACAAGTTTTTTTCGATCGTATGGTATATATAAACTTAAAATAGTGAGCACATTGAAAATTGATATTATCGACGATATGACTTTTTATTCTAAAACCATCCGAAGATTCGAAATTTAAAGAATCTCACGTATATCTGGTGTTAGTAGTAAAATGTTATTATACTTCGGAAATGTTTTTGCGAAAATTTGGACGTTCAGAGAAAAAACTTAAAGCGGATTCGTACACTGCAAGTATAGGAGTATATTGTTGTAGAAGATGATTAAACATATATTAAAAAAAAAGACTCAGTGTAAGCCCAGCCCCATTTCAATTGTGATTAATTTTTTTATCAAATGGGAACCAGGGAGGCGGAGCTTAATTGAAAAATCATTTTCTCTCTACAAGAAATTTCCTGGGAACCAAGTTTTAAGTATCGTGTTGTTGAAAGAAAACTATACATATTAAGAAAACAAGTGCATAATTAAGCCCCACCCTCCCGCCTCTATCTAAATCGTTATGAATTTTTCATTCGTTGTCATTCCAGAGGCGGAGCTTAATTGCTAAACGCGTATTTGTCCACAAAAATGTATAAATTTAAACATGTTTTGAGTTTATCGTTGTGAAACGAAGACTACGTATGTAACGAAAAAAGGGTAATAAGAAAAAAAGCAACAGGAAACTGAAAACATTTTTAAAATGGTAAATTTTTGTAGAAAAATGTGGGTTTTGCAATTATACTCTGTCTTTCGAACTGACAACAAATGAAAAATTAATCACAATTGAGATAGGGGCGGGTGGGTGGGGCTTAATTATTGGCTTTGTTCCTTAATAAATAAAGTTTTCTTTCAACAATACAATAATTAAATCATTTTAAAATAAAATTTGCGTTTTACACACAAAATTTGACAACAATTGTTCCGGTAATTTCGGAGATTATCTGTTTAATAAAAATTGACATAGACGGAAACGGAAGGTTCCATTTTTCGCACTCTAGGGGTCATGAAACGTCAAGAAAACATGAAAGTGGCTGAAAGTTGATAGTCAATGATATGACTTTTCATTTTAAAACCAAAAATTCGAAATTTACAGAATCGCATGCTATTTTGGATAAGTTACTCGTGTTGATAATAATGACTGTGAAAAACCCTGTACATTTTTTGAGAACAAGTCTTAATTCTATTATGAATAAGAAATTATCTCTTAGTTTGCAAACAATTTAAGAGCAGTTTCCAAATTTGATGGTTTCACGAATATCATTTTCCGTAGGTATGTCCTTGAGACCTTGAGTTTCCAAATTCTATCTAAGGTGTACTTACTTATTACTGCTCCAAATTCAAATTAAATCTGAAATTTTTTGTTATCCATAGTTACATACCAAAAATAAAGTTATTTTTTGCTTCAAAAAACTAAACAAAGCTATACAGTATAACCCAACTTTTTATTTTTTCTAAAATATTCATTCAAACTAGGACTATGGGTGACGTAACAATTTTGACAAAATTGCCCAGAGAATTTCAAATTTCATCTTAAAATTTAATTCATTTATTAGAAAATCAATTGTTAACTTTCTTCCGGTATAATTAACTGTCCATCATCATTCATCACAAAAATATTCAAAGGCTTGTAAGTAAAACGAAATTTTAATAATACTTGCTGAAACGAAAATTAATTAGTGTTGTTAATTAACATTAATGTCGCAGCAGATTTAGTAGGAGCCTGTTGTCTGTTATGTTATGGCATAAAAATTAACAGAATCAGTAAAATGGACAAAACGACCTATTCATCATTGTCTAACTCCAATACATCCTGTATTTAATCAATGTCCAATAATACTTCGAAATAGCTTAAACGACATCTTTATTAAGAGGAATTCCTTCAGCAGTACATTTCACTGTTTCATTTTTACACCGTTTGGAATCCCAACTTTGTAGTCTTCCAGAACATAAAACTAAATATATGATTCCACCAACACAGTATACACCACACTGAATCCAAAAAAATGGGCGCCAGTCTTGGAACGTGTGACCACTGCTTAGCAATAAAGCCACCAGTCTTGTAGCAACATAAACTCCAAATGCCGAAACCATGTTAACTAAACCACAAATGGTACCTGAATAATTTGGAGACACTTCCAGGATGTTTGGACAGTGTCCAGCTGTCACAGCTGCGTTAGCTATTAACGCTAGATAAAAAGACGTTAGCGCAACTGCTGCAACATTGCCCCAAACACCCAACAGGATCATAAAAATACTCGGAACTATTAACGAATACGTCCCGAAGACTTTTCTAACAGCGGTAACTGACATCCTTTCGGATTTTAATAATCGATCCGCTATGTATCCGTAACTCAAAGACGATATGTATACACCTGAAAAATGTAATAATAATTTCAAATGTAAGCTTCCGGTTGCAAAATCTACCCCAGTTTGGAAGACTTGAAAGAATCCCGTTTTGTTGAATATTGTAATGTAAAACTTGATCAAGATAAGACGGCAGCTCTGCATTTATAGTCATATTTCCAAAGAAACTCGCTGTTTGTGCAAAAGCAATTGCCCACACTGGTCCAGAAGAAAGGATTTGTTTCCAAGGAATTTCAGTAAACTTTATTTTCTTTCCACTTTCGCCAGTTTCTTTTATTTTGTTTTCGAGTTCTTGTCTTTCTTTTGGAGAAATTCTGGGATGTTGGCGTGGTGAGTCGTAAATTAGGTAGAACCAGAAGCCTGACCAGAGTAGTGATATTGTTCCAGAAAAATAAAATACACTCGGCCATCCATACTCGGAAATTAGGAAGCCGCCCAAAATTGATGACAAGGCATAACCTATGGAGGAAGATGTGATGCATGACATAAATACTGACTGTTCTGTGGGAGCAATCCATTTAAAGGATAAGGGCATCAGAGCTGGCCAGCTGGCTCCTATTAGAAAACCCATAAGGACTCTCGAAGTTAACAAAGCGTAGTAGTTTAAATGTGCAATTACTGGTGTTATAATTGTTAACACTGCTGCTAATACCATCGAATATCCAGAAACCTTTTTTGAACCGAACATTTCAGCTAATCTTCCACTGGGGATTTTAGTGAGCGCAAAACCCCAGAAAAACATGCCCAGTATATTTTGTTTTTGGTCTTCATTCCAGTCAAAAAGTTCTGAGTTGCTAGTTTCGTTATTCTTTTTTATCATGGTGACAATAGCGATGTTGAACATTGTTTTTAACAAACCATTGAGAATAAAGCCTGAGGTTACCATTATAAATAAAATTCGGCGACAAGTCATTAACTCTGGGTTAGAAAATTGTGAAATTAGTGTTATTAATGTTTGAAAATTACACATACCTAATGTCCATTTTTTTGTAGTTGATGCCATTGCCACAAGTATACTTTTGTAAATTTTTACGTGCTGGTTGTATTAAGAAAACTTTTTTCTACATTACTTATCTATTGACATATTTAAGGACACAGCAAACTGGGTCATAAAATTTAGAATATATGCAAGGACGATGAAATAAATTCGTTTGTCAATCAATTAACTACAATTTCGTAGAGTTTGGCAAAAAAAGTCGAACAGGGTCTACATAATATAATAATTGTCAGGTCGAGTCATAATTACAAATTTAAATTTGTGCAATTTTACTATTCATTATAAAAATGCTATCTTAAGAAAGAAATTTAATTGTGTAAAATTTAGATAGTTATTTTATTAAAATTTCGAAGAGTTTGTTATCTTCTAGAATCTGAAAAAGTAGGTCCACATTTTCATCTGTCTGTTGTTAATCGTTTGCTCATTTTATTAGTGAAATAATCTCCGAAATTCCTCTACAAATTACTGTAAAATTTAAGACTCATTTTAAAAATATCGTGTAGAAAGCAACAAGCCGACCAAAATTTGGGATGTTGATTATCTCACCAAGAAAATTTTACACTTTAACTAAGAAACTATAAAACCGATTTCTTTGCAATTTTACACCCACTTTAATCGCATCGTGAACGTGGTAAATCGCTAATCAAACATGATTATTGGTTCGTCCTTTTCAAAAACTTGATGACGTCCTCTTAAAATTTGTTAAATAAATCTTGTTTGAAATTTATTTCTGGTTTAAAAATGCAGTCATATTTTTGACGATATTTAGGTATATGGATTATTATTATCGTACAAAATTAAAATTTTACAATTGGTCTTAGAATTTATTAAGCCACTTTTTTTTAAATTCATTTATACATCCCCTTTAGAAAGTTAATAACGTCATCGCCAAAATGTATGGAAAAGTATTCATGAAAAATGGACTTCGAGAAGTCATTTGAATTTCTTTTAATTTTAATTTTTAAATTTATTTTTAATGAGTGAGTCAATTAATTTAATTGACTAAATCACAAGTACTCTTTACTAGTTTTCGGAAAATTATTAGATTAGCACATTTTTAATAAAGTTTACACAGTCAATTTTTATAATTTATTTAAAAAAGTGGGTTCGTTTTATTATGCGAGCGAAGTTCTGTGTAAATTATTTTATACCATTTTTACTTTCCTAGTGCAAGCAAACGAAGTGTTGCAGCAGAGTCCATCGGACGAAGGCTACTTTCGTGTTTTCTCGATGTTTCATGAACCCTAGACGAGGAATCTCGTTTCCGTCTGTCTGTCTGTCTGTCAGTCGTTTGTTATCTATCGTACGTGTCGATATTTAGATAGACAATCTCGGAAGCCATCAATATGTGATAACGTCAGCACAAAATTGTCAATAATAAATATTATATAAATTTTATAAAATAATATACCAGTATGTTATTTTATACATATAGTATATATATTTTTTCTTTTTTATTAATATACATAGTTTTCTTTTCACGAAAAGTAAACGAAAACATTTTCAAAACGGTAAATTTTTGTAGGAATGTGGATTTTGTAATTACGCTCCGCCCCTCCGTCTGATAACAAATAAAAAATTCACCACAACTGAGATTGGGACGGGAATAGGTGGGGCTTAACTTTTGGCTTTCTTTCTTACACAATACATATGGCTTTCTTTAAACACCACAAATACTTGAGAACATGTTTCACAGGGTAGTTTCTTGTACAAAAGTAAGGATTTTGCAATTAAGCTCCGCCCTCAAGCTCACTACGAATAAAAAAAAAATCAACACAATTGAGATCGGGTGGGTGGGCGGGGCTTGCATTTTTCCGTTTTTTATATTATATTATTTATACATAGTTTTTTTTTCACGACAACAACCTAAAATTTTCAAAATGGTAAATTTTTATGGGAAATGTGGATTTTGCATTAACGCTCCGCCCCTCGGTCTGATAACGAATGAAAGATTCACCACAATCGAGACAGGGGCGAGTATAGGTGGAGTTAAACAACATAATATAAAAAAATATATAAATATATACTTATACAGCAGTTACTGTATTTGCAGTTTATGAATACGCCCTGAGTGTGTTTATATTAATATAAGCGGGTTGCTTGGGGAAGTACTGTAATTGAGTCAATCGGGCGACTAACTACTTTCATGTTTTCTTAACGATTCATGATCCCTAGAGTACGAAAACGTCTGCCTATCTATCGTCTGTGTCAAATTTTACTAGACAGATAGTCTTTGAAATCGGACTGATTATTGTCAAATTGTGTATTTATAATAACAATATTGTGCAGATGGTAAAACGGCAACCAGAATTTGTATCAATCATCCCCACCAAAAATAGGCTGACGTCATATTCAAAATTTACAATAGCAAATGTTAATTAAATTTTATAAAATAACATACTCCTGCACTTGTGGTTTATGAATCCTTGTTGAGTTTTTTATCATAAACGTCTAGATTTTTGTAAACAAATCGAAATTGTATTTTAAAATTCTATCTAAAATATGCTCTATACTTGTAGTTTATCAATGCGGTCATAGTTTTTAGAAATAGTTATGCAGAGTGGCTCGAAAAATTAATGAATGAGTTAATCTATTTTACTGATTAAATCATTTTTGGAAAATTTGACTGTATAGTAATTATTATTAGAAAACCTCATTTGAAACATATGCATTGCATGCTTCTTGACCTTTATTTTAACACCACACATATATCTGTACTTTGCCTTCCAAGTCAAAATCAAATTTTACAAGTTTTCGAAGGAACAGGATTTGTTGGACTGCGTACTTCAGGGGCCAGGGAAGTTCTATCTAATAAACCCTGGATCAGTTTTTTAGAACAAGGTGTACACATTTCCCAATAAAATTAGACTGTTAAACCTTATTTAAATTGATTCTAAAAATTTTAAACATACATTATATAGATTATTATTTAAGGATATTTAAAAGCTGAAATTTTACTTAGTTGTATATCATCTTTATTATAATTTTAAAGAATGTGTAAAGTTCTCAAATAACCGGTTCGGTAGTTTGGTATAACAAAATAACGACATTTTGACAAAAAAGGGAGTAAAATTTAGACATTTTTGTTAAAACGGCCAGGACGAAAAGACAAAATATTTTTGATTTGTAAATTTATGTGTAAATCTACCAAATGTTGAAGTTAATCTTTCACAAATTTTAGCCAACAAGCTATAAAAAATTAGCCCACGTGGTAAAAATTAATAATTTTATTAATTTGAGATCATAAAAAAGCATAGTGCATAATACGTTTATAAATTTCTTTTGACACTCGTTCCGCTCAGCTTCGCTCGTGCCTATAAACTCCAAAGAGGGGTTTATAAAACTTGTTGAATTTAGCATACAAAAATGCGAGTTCCTATTTGCTTTTTGTATAATATTCTAAACTATTGTAAAACCTGGGATTCTATTTATACATTAATATTCCCAATGTATTGGTAAAACTACAAAATTTATCAGTTCCATCTGGCTATCGTTGCTTTAACATTATACTTAGGGCATATTGCAAAATAAAATAAATAAAATCAGATTTGTCCAACCAAATTTTTCGGTTTATCCAAAAAATAATATAATTAAGTTTTTGGTTTTGCTTCAGAGATAAATTTGGTGTATATTTTTTTTACGAATCAATTAAATAATTAACAGCAGTTAGAAGTTTGTAACACATGTAACTGTCGTTAAATTAGTCGTCTTTAGTAATCCAATTTTTACACGTGTTTCTAGCTTCCATGTCGACTATCTACGGACATGACATATTTAAAGACAACACAGGCGAATGGCTCATAAAACTGAAAACAAGAAAATAACTTTAGTTGTCAATTAAGCTTTAACAATTTACACAGGTCTGCAAAACCCAGTGCACACCAGTGGTGGTAATTAGTAAAGTTCGTGCATGTTGAACAAAATACTAAAACATATACCTACCGTGCGAAATTATACAATAAATGTCTATTTTGGTCCCTCTTTGTAGTTATTTTAGAGCGTATAAAATTTCCTTCGAGTAAGTATTATGCAAACATATATTTTTACAAAACAGTAACTTTCTCTTACATTTAATTGCATGAAATTATCTTCAATTCTTTTAATAATTTCAAATACCATAAGACGCGCTGCATTATCTTCCAATCTTAATGGAACTAATAGATGTATCAATTGCTACTAAAACGTAAAAACATTACTACCCATTATCAAATTAGACAGTATCAAAGTGCCGTAATCTTGAAGTACTTCCATATGGGATTGACCCCATCAACAATCAAGCTGGTGACGTTTATTGAAGTCATGGTCTGAATGCCTGCAGCCTAGCCTGAAGGGTGTGTATTGTTTAGCTCCCTCCCCTTGGAAAAAATTAGTCTGGTGCATGCTGCAGTCCCCAAATCGATCAATAGTGATGAGAGAAACATTCAGTCCTGTGAAGATGTGCATGCTTCATTAAGTTTGAATAGAACTGAAATGGCATTGTATTTAGTTGCGGAATTAATTTCGATTGTAAACAAACACACCGTATCGTAACAATTATCTGATTTACAAGCCGAGATAGAATTGTTGTCTTTCGATTGTCTAGACGAGAAGAGTCCAACAATGGATGTGAGGTAAGCCTACACACGGACTTTGACATTGATTATGTATATTCTTGTGAGAATGGATTAGGTCATACTGTTAGATAAATGGTTCAGTGTTGGAGATAAACGGGTGGTTGTTGGAGCTCAGTGGGTAAGACTGAACTTGATATTTCACGACGAGTACCACTTCAAAGGCTAATAGCATTCACCTCAATTATGCTTACCTACCTTAAAAGCTTTTTTTAATTTTTTTAAAAATGATATAAAAGAACAATAACAACTGTATTTAAAGGGAACGTGACGTCATTCCGCTGGTCAACCGATTCGGAATATACGAGTCAAAATACGATACATACATTTTTAATTGTACATAATTACAAGAAATTTTAAAGAATGTGTCTTTAGAATTAAATTTTTAATTTGACT